CTCCGCACCCGTCAAACAAGGATGGAAGAGCATTTGGACCACATTGACCGAAGATTTGGGCAATTCACCCAACACTACTATGGTCAATTTGGACACCTTCCTCCCGACCCACAAAATTAGGTTCCCATTCTTGTTATTTCATATGACATACTCTTCTCTAAACACACACTTTATGGGGGATTGAAGTTTTTATGTTCCTATGACTTCTACATTGAGGACAATGTAAATCAAGTGTGGGGGTGAATAATTGGTTGAAAAACTTTTTTTTTGCAAACTAAATTTTTTCTAGGAAGGTTAAATTTTTTGATATTCTCTCTTTTAAGGGTTTTGGTTGAGAAATATTTTCTTTTACTCACAAAAATGTATTTTTAGATTAATTAAAATATTTATTAATCTTGAAATCACCACTTTCACTCAAATTTGTGACAATTTTCCAAATCCATACAAATATGCAGAGTGCAAATTCAAAATAAAAGTTTCATCCCAACTTCAAATCACTCTATTGTCGGATTCTCCTCATTTCTGAAAATCTAGATATATAATAACGGAGAAAAAAAGAGTTTATATATACAAAAACAAAAAAAAACTCATGTTCTCCTAGAATAACCTTCTCTACAAAATCAAGTTGTCAGTCCACAAAAAAAACATCGACATACCCACACATTGCCTAAATTATCACAAAATAAACCCATCAAGTGTTTAAATATTTTTCTTAATCTTAAATACATTTATTGTGAGTAATAGAAAAAGGTTTTTGGCTCGAGAAAGATTAAAGAGTTTATATCTAATTTTTAACATCTTATTAAACTTTTAATTTGCATGGTTTAGTTTCTTTTCTAATTGTGCATCAATACAAAGAAATTGCTTGAGGACAAGCAATGCTCAAGTGTGGGGGAATTTGATAAGCACAATAATTACTTATGTTTTACATAAGTGATTATAATTATCTGTACAAAAATATAAAGCAAAAACAGGTAAATATTCCCGAATGAGCGGAAACATGAAATGCGGCTTGGAACAACAAAAATAGGGTCAAAAGTCAAAAGGGGTCGAAAACCGGCGCTTCTGGATAAATTTCGGGCATCAAAAGAGAAAAAGAAGCTAAGTACAAGTTTGGGCGCAAGAACCGGCGCCGGTCATCACACATCCGGCGCCGGTCGTTGGGATTTTTTTCCAAAAGCGGCCTGTTTCCAACCGGCGCAGAGCGACCAGTGCATTTTTTCACACGACCGGCGTCGGACACCCCAAAACCGGCGCCGGTTGTTCCGATTTCTGCTAGAAACACAGCTACGTGCAAAAGATTTCTTGATGGGAAACTTCATCTTCTTCATATTTGATCAAATATCTCCTCCATACCTGTTTGTTGGGCTTGAATAGACTAAAAGATGCTATTCTTTAGCCTATATAAAGCCCTCAATTTATCATACAAATACATTCCATATATAGATTAATTCATAGCTTTTATATTTTGTTCTTGCTATTTTTCTTTAAGTTCTTTGGAGAAGAAGCTATTTCTCTCCTCTACAATTGGTTCTAGGTAATTTTTCTTGTATGTTATTGTATTTATTTGTTCTTAGTTACACTTTTGTAATTAATATGAGCATTAGAGGCTAAATTCTTAGCTAAGGCTAGGGATGAACTTTTATGCCCACTAGGTGTTTGATAAAAGTTCTAAACCAATAAATTGTGATTTATCCTTTATATATTGATTGTTTATGACTATGGTGTACAACATAGAAGTATGTTAAATTTAGTTTATACTTGCAATTAACGTTGAAGTCTAAACTATAAAACTTTAAAGGATAAACATATATAGTACCGAGAATAGAAATATATCCGGTCTTATATGATACGGGTGTGATGTCTTGATATTCAACGGGGTTTTCGGTAGATGAATGTAAGCCGTAACGGGACTTACACGTAACGAAAATCACACTCTCGCTGCCTTAACCGGAGTTGAGAATATATTAGCGACATCGTATTCATAATTATTGACAAAGAACTAATATTCAATCCTATTTAAGCATTTAAGTGATTCCCGAAGCCTTAGTTGTTGTTATCATTTATCTTGAACTTAAAGTTAGTTAACGATTATCTTGTTGAACAAAAAGTGAATAAAAACCAAAAATATAAAACACAAATCAAAATCCATGCACTTTATTCATTTCTTCATTTAAAGTTATCTACTCTCGGACTTGAATTAAACAATGTTTCCTTGTGGATTCAACCCGGTATTTTACCGGAATTTATTACTATATCGGCACTTGTACACTTGCAAGTTTAGCCCGGTCAGGAACCTTCACCAACTGTCCCCCCCCCCCCCCCCCCCCCCCCGGCCACGCAATAAGGAGACCCCTCAGGGACATCGAATTTAAAATCCCTCTTGGGTGGACAGCCTTCAACATACAACAACGGGACCCCCGGGTGCTCTCATCCCCAGCTTGTCAACAGGTAGAGAATTCCCCCGGCATCCCCCGGGACATTAACAAAGCACCTTCGGCAAACCAACACAGGTGCCCTCAGATCAAGGGTAGCCTTTGGCATCTACTTTGTCCTTCATCTCAGACCAAGGTTTCACCTTTTCGAGTCATCATTGGGGGAATTCGGTGCACTCTTTTTCCCTCATTAGGATTTTTTCTCAGAGGGTTTTTCCTAATGAGGTTTTTAACGAGGCATCCCCCCAAAATGAAACGAAAAGTGTCAACCTTCGGCCCCATGCGACAGCGGGCACTACTCTACTCCTCTTCACCACATTACATGTGCCTCAAGGAGTGGGGGACTGGAGGACCCCTTCGGGAAAAATCACGAAATGCAAATGTCAAAATCTCCCCAAAGCAGCAACATAATCCTTCAAATCCCAAAATACGGGGGACTGAAGGACTGCCCCCGACAGAATCGTGCGCAAACGTAAATCTCTTACAGGTTTACAAGCTACAAACAAGACAACATCAGAGGACAACCGCAATTACTCCTTTTCCCTCAAGTACCTTTCGGCAAAAGGAGTGAGGGACTCCTGATGGAGTATATGGCCCAGGAACACCCGGCCCATAGACTCCCACTACCATAGCGAAGGCCCAATAGGCCCAGGAAGCACAGCAGGCCCAGATCACAGAGCCCCAAGTGCCAAACAGCCCACGGCGAACACTGGGGTGCCTTCGCCCCCCTGACTGAAGGCTCATAAACTTACAGTACAGCTTCTTTAAAGCCCTCAAAGTGTCTGGGAGAGAGCGCAAAAAACAGTAGCCCTCGGCACCTAGAGGCCCCCGGTATGTGGAGCCTTCAGCCAATCATCTACGGCCGAAGGCATCTCCTCGACAGAATCTCCCACCCACATGCACCGGATCAACGTACCAAGTACAAACGTCACATCCAACCACCGCATTTAATGCGGCCACATGCGAGTGCCAGTGCCACCCCCGTTGAGGTGACCCCTCGACCACCAGAATGGTGACACGTGTCCCTATCTGGCATTTATTACTACTATAAATAGCACCCCTTTTCCCCATTTGTAATTCATGCTCAATACGCTCAACACATTCTCAGCAATATATATTCTCTCTCTTACTTTTGCTCTGACTTCTCTCTAGTTATTTCCCGCAGTAACCCCTCGGATAGATACCCCCGGGTACACTTATCCATCAAGAATAAAATGGACGGGTCGTTTTTAACGATACATGAGTTGGAAATTTCATATAATAGTATAAATTAGATAATTGATCGTATAAATGAGACTAATAAAGTTTTAAACTTGAATATATGTCATATATGCATTATAAATTTCATGCAAGTAGAAAGTGAATTAGGCTTTTTTTAAAAAAATTTGAGGATACAATCAATATTATGCATCAAAATTTACTAATTTCAAGTTTAGACAGTGTTGATTCATCGTGAATCATAACTTTTTACTCGTAATAGGTTACGAGAGCTATAACGTATCAATGTATGTATACATACATTGTGTCTGTATACACAAAAAAGTGTTTATGCACATATATTTTTGTTCGCAAGCATGTTTATGCATAATATTTATTCACAAAGACAAATTATGTCGAAATGTGTCTGTATTTATATTTATTTTGTCTGCGTGGGGGGGAAATAAATAGGATGTAACGGAAAGTATGTGAAATACTCAATATAAAATTTCATTAAAATAAGCTCCTCCATTTATCTACTATTTTCTTTGACTTTTTTTTATATTTTAATATTAGTCTATCTATCCCAACTCACAAGTATGTTGCTTGGACATGAATGTCTTGTTGCATAAGAAAGCAATCTCACTACCAAAAAAACACGGAATTGAATTGGCAGAGATTTTGGCAAGGATTATGCAAAATTCGTGCCAAAAACACTTTGGATCGAGCTATTTGGCACGAAAAGTCGGTAATCCGTGCCAAATTCCGTGTTTTTTTGTAGTGTCTACACTTCAACGTAATAATATATGTTATTAAGATATAACACATTCAAAATAAAAAAATATAGAAAGTGCTCAAATTCAGACTCCTTTAAATTATTACGATATCTTTCTTCAGGCCTGGCAAATTTCTACTCCCGGCCTTAGCTTCATCCTGAATAATTTTTTCACTTTCATTTAATGAATATAATGTCCCTAAATAAAATCTTCTTTTCCTATTTGATGAACAAACTTGTATCAACTTATTTTACTCCCTTTAAATGATAATGACAACACAATGCAAAACAATTCTAAACGGTGTCAAAAATGTCAAAACAATGTAATCTAAAGTAAAATTTACCCTTTAGTGACGACGGCATTTTAGAAAGTCAATGGAAATATATTTATTTATTTTATTATCTTTGTAATTCAAAGTAGGATCTTTATATAGGGAGTATGCCACAACTAAAATCAAACATAATGAAATAGTTAATTAGTGATATGAACTATATATTGATATTGTTTAATCATATTTTACTACTATGTGAAGTACTTAAGAAGATATCCTTAATTGTGAGTAAACCACAATATTCCAATATCCATGAATCCATGATAAGAGAAAAATGTAATTATGTATAAAAAACACCTTATATTTATGCAATTTAAATTCCATATGACAAAACTTCGGAATCCCAGTGAAGTACATGCAACTAAACTAAAATTATATTGTCATCTTGCATTCTAATGATTACTAGCATAATATTGTCATACTAGTCACTAGATTTCGAAAACCACAAGTCAAGTAATGCAATTTTGAGACATTATGTCACCCTAGGGCCACTTTGGCATATACGGACCACAGAGCATATATAACTACTAGCACGGGCACGCGCGTTGCGCGAGGTTGATGCCCACTGGTAACAAAATCTTGATAGTCCATAAGGGAGTAAGCAAAACCAAGAAATGACAAGACTCGACGTATAATGCAGAATTGAACCCGCTACGACAGTGACTATAAACTCGTCCATAACACATTTTGGGAAAATAAGCATAAGAGTGACTGTATAATCACTGCTAGTTTCAGCTGTGCACTGTGACTATAAACTCGTCCACAACACATTTTGGGAAAAATAGGCATGTGAGTTTTCAGTAAAGCACATATACTAAAAGAGGAATTGAACCATAAGAGGATGATGATAGGAGTTCATATGGACTATTGATCTGTCAAGCACAGATACAAAAATGACTATTAGAAAAATTAAAATTATGATGCACAATAACATATATGGGCCTCTGAGACGACGAAATCCTAACCTGGGCTGAGCAAAGGAAATCTGTAAGCTTACAAATTTCCTTCTAAATCTGGTAGCTCATAGATTTCCATCTACAAGATCATACTGTTCTGCAAGCACGAGTCTTTCAATTTTTTTTACAATCCCGCCAAGCCTTTGAAAACAACCATTTTCCAACTCGGTCTTTGGAAATGCTTCAGACCAGTCCCCCTTTCAATCTCAGTTTCAGCAAGGTTGCTGAAAATGTTTCCAAAAATGGTTTTGTTCCAAAATTTCAAACAATTTTGAACCTTCTAAGATTAAAAGAGAATTTTCCCATGCCAAAAGCATCACAAGGCTGATCTCCAGGATGTCAAAAAAATGAGTGCTTATTCCATATATGTTGAAATTTCGAAGTCCTAGGGCCAACCTTAGATAAAGTGAGATTCATATTATCAAACTAAGGGAATACTAAGATTCTATCAAGTTTGTTTAAAACAAGACCATTTTTTCTTTTACCAATCCAGGTGTGCTTGGAACTCAACCTCTATAATGTATTTATTATTAATTAATTCACTAAAATCCAGAATGTCATACCTTGAAGGGATACAATTGCCTTTACACTCCTGCAAATTAGAGATGACATTGAAATCTCAAGCTAAAATCAGCCAGGTTAGTCCAGAGATATCTTCTAGTCATCCTGTCATTGCTAGCATAGACGATGGAATTGTGTGGTTTTATTTATTTTTGAAAGAGATGTTCACAGATTGATTCAAACCAGAGATAATGTGGGTATCACAAAAGTCATTCCATAACAACCAAGTTTTATAGTGCTTGTGTGCAGAGAGGAGTTTTGAAAATGAAGAGCCAGTTTAGCTGAGTGGATTTTTTGTTGGTCTGATGTTAGACTTGATAATGGCCTGAGCAGAAAATTGCCTGTGCTTGTGCAAAATGTTACCAGTAAACTGATAGGTATCTGGGAAACCCTGCAATTATAATTACAGCAATTCAGTAAACAAAACTCAGCACATTGGTCGACAAACTTTACCAAGAATCAAACTGAACAAAGAATGCATTTTGGATTTCAGTTGGGGAAAAGTTAGTTTATTGGAATTTCATTTTTCAATACCAGTTGACCAAAAATATATTTTAATACAATTAGTGTTTGGACACATTCTTGAAGTTTTTGATAGATAGAAGGGCGATAAAGTGAAATTTGTTTGGGATGTAACTCAACATAGCTTTAAGAATGAATGACATTAGAGCACATTCAAAAGTTAAAGTTACATTCAAAAAACAACTCAGATTAGCTTTTGCAAAACCAACTTGTAGGGCTTGTTTGGTTAACAATACAAATTAAATCAACCATTTCTCCAGTTTACAGTTTCACCTTCAAACAACCCCATAAAGAACTATTAGTTTAAATCCAAAATTATGGCTCAAGAACCCTATTTGGTTATGCTGATGATACCTTTTCATCTGGAAGGTCACGCCAATCAGATCCAGGACGCTTGGGGATCCGTTGACATCTAATCAGATAATGCTCATTCATCTCTTAGACATATGATCAGATAAGTGAGATAACACAATTGCATTCCCACAGATTTTCTTTGGGAACCACGTACGAGACAAGATGATCAACTTGATACTACCAGCACAATGACATTAAAAATGCTTTTCACTTTTTTCAAATAAATTCAAATACTACAAAACTAAAAATCTATGAGGAGAGAGAGCATTTAAAAATGCTCTTGAGCACTCACAAGAAAATTTACAATATGTGCACTCACAACTCACAAGAAAGGGCATTGAAGTGCCCTCTTCTTCATTTGAGTTTTCAACAGAGATAGCAAAAGATTCAGCACTTACGGCATTCTTATCAGGTTCGTCTTGATCATTGACATATTTAGTTACCTATAGAAGAACAATGGATGTACAGTTTCCCTCTCAACTTTGCAAGAGTAATGCTTTCCAGAATAAAAACCCCAAGATTCTTTTTTATAAGCTTGAGTTCTTGTGAATCATTAGTAATGTCTCACCCCCTTTCTAACTCCTGAATAAATAGTAGTTAGGTTTGCAAAAAGAAGAAAACATGAATCAAAATAGTCGTACCTGAGCCATTGATATTAGTTATCTCATTAAAGAAGGCAAAATAAATCGAAATCGAAGTACCTATAATCCAACCGTTGAAACATCCTTCACTTTTTCTGAATAAAAATGAAGCAAAGCATAGTCAAAATCATGAGGAAAATGTCCTTCACTCACTAAATCGGTCTTATATATGAAGATACAAATTTCTTTTGCATCATAGATTGAATCAAAATAAAATAGGTCATATCAAGCCAAATTTGACTTTCGTTTGCCTTTCTGGTCACATGAAGATGATGAGGAAGAAACTTACTACTTTGGAGTATGAGCTGCAGAAACTTTCAGGTCATGAGGAGTATTTCACATTTAATCCTTTGACCCTCTCCTTCTACATTTCTGCTCTGGATAAAATAAAAACATTTTTCAATAAATTTGCATCATATACATAAATCAAAATATATTCAGTTATATAAAATGATTAAAATATAATCAATGTTAGCAAGCTTAGCTGCAATAAGCTCTTCTGCAGCCAAAATCCCTAATCAACTCACTCTCTCAAAAACAAATCCCTAATCAACTCAAGAATAAAAAATTAGAATAAATTGAAAAATGTTGGGTTTATACAAATCAATTGAATAATCAGATGTGAAAACTAAAAAACAATTTAACACAAGAATATGAAACCATTTAACCCAGAATTAAAAACAATTCTCACGAAAGTAAAAACTTATCATTTTTTGAACGCTTTAAGAACTGATACAAGACAATAAAATTCATTTGTTGATGATGTGCTAAATAATATGGATTTTTTTGAACAATAAGAGATATCATGAAGTATTGGAAATGATGGGGGTACTTTGATTATATATATTGCAATATCTAGAGTTGTAGACGTTGGTACGTACACACCACCAACAAAGCAACACAAGAAGAAAAGGCAAATTCTTATTCATGAACTTCAACATAATCAGAAATGGAAAAGAAATTTTCTTGACCTGGACCTGGACGAAGGCGGCGGACGCAGCAAGACGAAGATTTTCTTTGTTGCTAGCAAACCCTATGCTCCGGACTTCCTATGCTCTGGACCTGTGAAACGAGTGAAGCACATTATAGAGAGCAATTGAGAGTTGTCAAGTAAGGCTCTAAAATGTAAGGCCTGTATCAAACAACGAAGAGAAAACGGAGAGGCGTCTAAGAGGGAACTGTAGCAACGGAAAAATGCCCAAGATAACTGTCTTCCGCGCAGAGAGCTGTAGCAAATCTCTTCGTGCTATTTTGCTTTTGCACAACTGAAGCTTCAAAAAGTCCGATGACAAACAGTAGCTTAGGGCTGCAAAAAGTCTAACAAACAACAAAAAGTACTCACAGATTCGGATGAAACCAGTCCGTGGAATGAAATCGCTGGAGCTAGAAACAGAATAGAAACCAAAGCATACAAAAGAGAAGAAGACATCTTAGATAAAGTTACCTTTGGGAGGCGATGAATGGCTATGGGAGCAGCTTGATGCTTTGTGGAGGCTGAGCGCACGACTTTGGCGGAAGTCCATCCGATAGTAGGAAGAGACGATGATGGAACTGATGCAGCTATAGGGTTGGGGAGAGTGAAATGAGAAATGAAATTGGAAAAACATCCGCCATCATTCTTGTAGGCAGAGCAGTAAACAGAGTTTAACCGCCTGGGGCTGTAGCAACGGAAAAATGCCCAAACTTAACTTTCTTCCACGCTTTAAATATAACCAGATAAAGCTTGTGAAATCTATATTAAAAAATGTTAATATCCTTTGAATTGGACCAATGAAATGCATACTAGGTATGGTATCCTCCTATTTTTGTTGAGTACCATAGAAAGCACCTTAAAAAATTGGCGGTAACTTGAAACTGCTCCCATATATGAGAAGGTTGTCAGATTATTAAAAAAACAGATCTATTTGATTGATACCAAAAGGCAACCTTAGTAGAACGAACTAAAAATGAAAGATGAATAACTAACAGATCGGAGTACACAAAGACCAATTTAATTCCTCTCCCAATTCCCTCAACGGCACACTTTGCATCTTCCATCCTCATCATAGAATTTTAATATCAATAAATATAGGAGAGAAGAAGTTGTGGCCACCGTCACGGGCCATGTCACCGCCGACGTCCAGTCGAATTAATCACGGTGAAGATTGACATAGAGACACAAAACTTTCGGCCACAGCCATTAGGGGGCCGGTGCAAGAAGTTTTTCTTGCGGTGGGGGTGGAGGAATTAAGTTGGACTCTAATGAGGTTGGATTCAATGTTACTCTAGTGTGGTTTCTTAGTATGTACTCCCTACATTTCATGTATTCACAGTGCTTTCAATATTCATTAAAAAATGATTAAGCTATCATCAATTCAGCATCACAAACTAAAATGAGAAGTCTGTGAAAAATTAAAATCAAATTGATGAACTTTTACCGCAAACTAGTGTAATATTTGATTTGATCATATCTTGTTGTATGTTCTTTCGTTTGAGTCGCTTTATATCTCATTGGAAAGATCGTTGTGAGTTCTAAAAGTAGTGCTCATACTTTGTTTATAATGTATTGAAGAATGGATAGAAATTAACTTGAAATTTAATAGTGCAACATTTATTTCAATATTCATACTCAATGTAGAGTTGTTCTATTGTATACTCCCTGCGTCCCGGTCATTTTTTCCAACTTTCCTTTTTGGTCCGTCTCAATTAATTTTTCCAACTTCCACTTTTGGAAAAAGTATGAGGTTCACATTCATTCACCTTTTTCTTATACAACTACAACTATACATTTTCACTTTATTCCTACTACCTAAATTTGTGATACCCGTCAAACCGGAAGAAATGACCGGGACGGAGGGAGTATATCATTACTTGAGTTCAAAATAGTATTCTGTTGTATACATAATTTGTACACATTTATTGTATACATTGCTAGGTGCATGTCTACACAAGAGCTTCTGAATGAGCTTCATGTGTACACAACTAACTAAGGGAATGCATACAACAAATGTGTACAATTTATACATACAAATCACTTTTTCCTTTCTATTTTATTTTACTGTGATGTGATGTGAAGCAACCATCGCAAGAGCAATAGATGGTAATAAAGTTGGAGTAGACTCTATTGCTTTAAGAGTTCGTTGTTGAAATAAAGTTGAATTAGTCATCTTCTAACTATTCATGATGAGGAACACATTATCATCATTGTTAATATAAATAAGAAATCATAATTATGATTTCTAGATGGTAATTGTATGGCTCACAATTAGCCCCTAATCTAGACAAGATTATATTTTTCGCTATAAATAGGAGTATTCTCCTTCATTGTAAAGACACCATTAGAACATCTCTAATACACCTCTATCACTAAGTGTTCATACTATATTTTCTCTCCCTGATCTTCTGCTTATTTCCTTCCATTTTATAACACGTTATCAGCACGAATTTGCTCCAAATCCCTGAAATCATCATCTTCCCAGCAAGTATATTTTTTCACGAATTTATCAGCTTATCTGGAAAAAAAAAATCAGAGGTTGAGAAGTATAAATATGTTTATATATATTCAAAACTATAAGAAGTATGCTCTATGGTTGCCCAACCATTGGGATCCTCCATATCAGAAAATTATAGCTATATTTTCTGTAAAAGAAGATAGAAGAAAGTACATAACTCTATAGTAATATGTTCTGGAAATGAAATCTGCTCTTCTTTAGTAAATCATACGTAGTATATGCTTTACGAACCTGTCAGAGATTTTCTTGCACGGAGCTTAAAAAAACAGAAATTACAATATGATGAACTGAGGTATATATGAAAATATCATAATACTATTTTCGAGTAGTATGGTGTTTCTTCATTACATAAATGAATAAACTATGAAGTGATATTTGTAAAATATAAAACCTCTTCTGATTAAAAAAATGAGAAGATCATAGTAGTAAAATAGTTCTACGTGTGGTGTTTTCATATACATAGTACCATATTACTCATGTATCTACTACATACGAAGTATGTAGTTTATTCATAAGATAAATCATGAATTTGAATAGATAGAAGACTAGAGGGATGAATCTATATGGATGAACTATGGCATCTGGAATGAAAAGATAACACTCGTATGATAGAGGAGATATGGTTTAAAACCTAAATGGAAGAAACTGATATATTTCTTATATGATGGTATATGATAGCTATACTCACGGGTCTCTGAACATTATCTTTCCCTTCACATGCAATGGATAATGAACAGCCAGCCAGCATTTCATACTATTTGTCTGTATTTTTATTAAATGATGCTCTGTAGTACTATCAGACTATAAAAAAAATTGATCTATTTATTTCAAACTAATAATTAGAAAACAAATAATGATGCAAATTGATTGAAATGACATATTGGTGGACTCTTCAACTCAATACGGAGTAAGTGATAAATTTTGCTTATACACTACATATCATGGCTACACATTATTCATGGGAATCAAATTTTTCTCACAGATTATTGTTATTAATATATTGACTTATATTACGTTTTACGAAGTATTACGTAGTTCTTATTCATGATCAGTGGAACCAAAAATATCTTGGGCTTTTCCAAGATCTTCCAAATAATTTACTACGTACTCTCTATTATTTCTTATTTATTATTTATTTATAGCAAGACAATAACAATAAATGCACCTTTAAACATGTAAGGAAGTCAATTATTGTTTTCTTTTTACCACCTACCTTATGTCTGGGAATTTAGTAAAGTCATGTGGTTCAAAAGAGGTATAACACGGAGTACATTACTACTAATAACTCATCTATATATTTATGAGTTTTAGAGAAATTTTGAGGTAATAAATAATACTCCGTAAAGTTTAAAAACGGACGAACTAAAATTGTTTGAGAAATGGACTACTTGTTGTATATTGTTAAATCCAAGACAATTGTTCAAATTTACTAAACAATATAATCAACCTTTCAACAACATGCTTCATTAAAACAATCTTTCAAAGAAAACCTATGAACACAAATTTGGTACTCTAAGGACCTTTGGTTATCGAGTTGCACGTCTCTGATTGTTAAGAAGGCCCCCTTAAACAATTGTTATGACAGTAACTTGATCCAAACGGTTATTATGTTTGTTTCTGTCAATTGACAGGAATAACCCCCTATAACGGCACTGATGATTGATTTTAACCTCAAATGATGAGGTAGAAATGAATATGAAGTAAATATAGGGGCTAAATTACTTCTCTTATTAAAAGTCGGAATAGAGTACCTCACTTTATTTTCTCCTTCTTATGTAATACGGAGTATATTTTAAAACAAAAATTAAAAGTGCTTATTTTTAACGTGAAAGTTATGCACAATTAAATGTACTATTAAGTGAAGTACAATTTATATTACAATATTGAACTAATATTTGTTCATTTTTATCTTTTTAAAGATATGGAGTTAACTAAAATTTCTCCAAGTGACTTTGAACAATGTTTAATAGACAGTGCCACAACGCACACCATTTTGAGACATAGAGATTATTTTTCTCATATGACATTAGTTGATGCTAATGTCAATACAATCACAGGTGTTGCTAAACTCATTGAAGGTTCTGGAATAGCCTGTGTGATTCTCCCAAAAGGGACAAAATTAATAATTAAAGACACTTTATACTCTAGTAAATCACGGAGAAATCTTTTGAGTTTCAAAGATATGCGTCTAAATGGTTTTCACATTGAAGCCATGTCTGAAAATCAAAAGGAATATTTATGTCTAACGACAAATAGATCTGGCAATAAATACATTTCTGAAAAAATGCCAGCATATTTCTCCGGGCTATATTATACATAGATCAGTCCAATTGAGATAAATGTGGCATCTAAAATTAATGACCACAATTCCTTTATCTTGTGGCATGACCGTTTAGGTCATCCAGACAGCACTATGATGCACAAAATTATTCAAAATTCACTTGGACATTCATTAAATAATGTCAAAATTCCACAATCAAGTGATTTCTCATAAACTGCCTGTTCTCTTGCCAAATTAATTATCAGGCCATCTTTATACAAAATTGGAGTTCAATCTCCTGCATTTTTAGAAAGAATTCAAGGAGATATTTGTGGGCCAATTGTCCCTCCGTGTGGACCCTTTCGATACTTTATGGTGCTCATTGATGCATCAACACGTTGGTCACACGTCAGTCTTTTATCGACTAGAAATTTTGCATTTGCAAATCTCCTTGCTCAAATTATTCATTTGAGATCACAATTTCCGGATTATTCAATAAAGAAAATCCGACTTGATAATGCAGGGGAATTTACATCCCAATCTTTTAATGACTATTGCATGTCAATTGGGATTGATGTGGAACATCCAGTTCCACATGTGCATACACAAAATGGTCTTGCTGAATCCTTAATTAAGCGATTACAATTAATTGCTAGACCATTATTGATGAAATTCATATTACCATCATCTGCATGGGGATATGCTATAATGCATGCTGCAAATTTAATTCGCCTCAGGCTAACTACATATCATAAATTTTCCCCATTGCAATTAATATCTGGTAAAGAACCAAATATATCACACATAAAAATATTTGGTTGTTCTGTGTATGTACCAATTGCTCCACCTTATCGTACTAAAATGGGTTCTCAAAGAAGGCTAAGAATTTATGTTGGTTTTAAATCTCCCTCAATTATTAATTATCTAGAACCTATGACTGGTGACTTATTCACCGCACGGTTCGATGACTGTCATTTTGATGAAACAGTATTCCCAGCTTTAGGGGGAGATAATAAAGAAATAGACCCACGTATGAAAGATATTACTTGGAATGCAACAGGTTTATCTTTTCTTGATTCTCGCACTAATGCTTGTGAACAAGAAATTCAAAAGATCATTCATTTACAAAGTGTTGCAAACCAATTGCCTGATGCTTTCACAGACTCAAAGAAAGTGACAAAGCCACATATTCCAGCTATGAATACTCCTTCTCGAATAGAAATTCCTGCGGAGATTAGCGAAAGAACTCTTTCTAATGAATCTATGATACGTAAAAAAACGTGGTAGACCACTTGGTTCAAAAGATTTGAAACCAAGAAAATTTAAAAAGCAAGACGTAGTTTGTGATGCCAAAGTAGTTCAAACTTCCCAAGAAGAAAATGAACATTTTGAAAATATCGGATTTGAAGATAACATCAATAATAATGATACCTCAAAAGAGGATCCAATCACCTTTGAAGAGGTAAATATTCCAGATAAAGATAGAAACGTCGATAATTTCGAAATTTCAATCAATTACGTTTCTAATGGAATACAATGGAATAGAAAAGATATTGATGTTAATGATATATTTTCATATGTCATTGCCACAGATATAATGAATGAACACGATGACAATGAGCCTAAATCTATTGACGAATGTCGTCGTAGAAACGATTGGTCAAAATGGAATGAAGCGATTCAGGTAGAACTAAAATCGCTAGAAAAGCGTAATGTTTTTGGACC